TACAAAGCCTTTTATTCAAAATTTGAATGAACTAATGGGAATAAGAAGATCCACAAAAGAAAAGAAATCAACAATTTCTAGTGATTACCTTGTATACCTACAAGAATCTGACTTTGATGTTGGACCTAAGGTTTATCCTAGTTTATTTTCACAAGCCATGAATGGAATCAATACCACTTTATCGTATGATGCCATGAAAAAAGAGATGAAGTCAATGGCTACAAACAAAGTTTTGGATCTTGTTCAGTTACCAAAAGAAGCTAAAGCCACTGGCTCCAAAAGGGATTCTTCTGGTAACATTGAACGATATAAGGCCAGACTTGTAGCCAACTGTTTTACTTAAAAGGAAGGAATTGATTACCATGAGACCTTCTCTCCGATTTCTAAGAATGACTCATTTTGAATAATCATGGCCTTCGTGGCTCATTTGGATTTAGAACTACACCAAATAGATATGAAAATGACTTTTCTTAATGAGGATCTTGAAAAAGAGTTATACATGGTTCAGTCTGAGGGATTTTCTTCAAAGGATAATCACTTAGTTTGTAAGTTAAAGAAATCTATACATGGACTTAAATGGGCCTCCCGCCAATTGTATTTAAAATTTCACAACATTGTTGATCATTGTATATACCTAAAGTTAGTGAGAGTAAATACATATTCTTAGTCCTGTATGTAGATGACATTTTACTTATAAGTAGTGATTTGGGTTTGCTACATGAAACAATAGGATTTCTTTCTGAAAACTTTGAAATGAAGGATATAGATGAAGCCTCATATGTCATTGTCATAGAAATTCACATAGATAGGTCATGTAGAACATTGGGACTATCTCAAAAGGTCTACATTGGAAAGGTTTTGGAAAGATTTAACATGAAGTCTTGTTCACCTTCTATAGTACCTATTGTCAAAGGAGACAAATTTTGTCTAAGTCTATCACCACAAAATGATTTGGAGAAAGAGCAAATGAAAAACATACCTTATGTATGTGCAATAGGTAGTCTCATATGTATGCTCAGGTTTGTACAAGACCTAATCTTGGGTTTATGGTAGGAATATTAGGCAAATAACAAAGTAATTTAGGCCTTGAACACTAGAAAGCTGCTAAGAAGGTTATGAGATATTTGCAAGGAACTAAGAGCTATAGGCTTACATATAGACATGCAAATTCATTAGGGATGATTGGATATTTAGATTCAGATTTGCTAGATATTCAGACACTTGAAAGTCCACTTCAAGATATATCTTTATTCTTGCTGGAGGGGCTATATCTTAGAGAAACATCAAGCAATCCACAACTGCTTCGTCAACTATGTAAGCGAAATTTGTTGCATGCTATGAAGCTACTACACAGGCCTTATGGTTAAGGAATGTTATCATAGGACTAAGGATTGTTGATTCTATATCAAGACCCTTAAGGATTTACTGTAATAATTTAGCTGCAATTTTTGTTTTTTGTTTTTTTTTTTTTTCTCTCTAAAAACAACAAAAGTGGCAGCCAAAATAAACACATTGACGTAAAGTATCTTGTTATCCGAGAGAAAGTGAAGATACAAGATATTTCTATTGAGCACATCAACACTGAACTTATGGTTGTAGATCCCATGACAAAAGGATTGCTGGCTAAAGTACACAATGATCATGTGGTTCATATGGGACTAATTAACTCTTTTGATGTTTGATTTTACTTTCTCATGTCAAGGGATTCACAATTGAAAACAATATTTATTTAGACAATAAATTCATGACATTTGATTGTGCACTTAAAGTATTTGTCATGTTTATTATCCGTTGAGATAAATAAAGTAGGACCCGAATGACTAATTGTTGATCATTTGTAAATAAAGTCATTTACTAAGTACTCATTAAGAAGTGTCATACATTGTAAGGGTGGGCGCGGGTCAGTTGCGACCACGGAACCTCCAATCCGCCATCCGTCTACTAGATTGGTGGATTAGAGAAAATCAATCAGCATCCGTCAGCCAGCCAATCCGGTGAATGTGGATTGAGCTAGTTGGTGGATTAATGGATTGATGCGAATCGGTTTGGCAGTTTAAAATTTTATAAATTTGCAAAATAATTCAACTTGTGCACTTCCTTAAAAAAAAAATGAACAGAATATTACAATCACTGCATGTCTCATCCAAAGAAAGAAAGTTTGAAACTTTAAAATAATACAATCACTGCATGCCTCATCCACATATTACAATTGCAACATGCCTCATTCGCGTAAAGTATTACAATCTGTAGTTCTTAAAATATAAAAACAATTCAAACCACCAACATCATGAACAGAGTAGTAATAGAGATTGTATGCTTCTGTATTGTTACATCTATATCTATTTTTGAATACAAAAACTACTAGCATATATCATTTTTTTTATTTATTATTTTTAGAGTTGGATTTAAAAACCAAAAAATATAGATAAATAATACATTTATTTTTTTCAATTCAAAAAATATATTCAAGTTGAAAACCTTTTTTTTAACAGAATATATTCAACAGAATATTTAAACTCTTTTTCAATTGAAAACACAAACAGAATATCTAAACAAATTGAAAATACAAAGTCTTACAAATTGCTAGGGGTGCTCGTAGTTTGGCAGTTCGGTTGTGGCCAAAGGAATCTCAAATCTGCCATATGTCCAAAATTAGGCGAATTGGAAAAAATCAATCTGCAACCATCCGCTCGTCATCGCACATCCGTCCAAAATGCAACGGATCTATTCAATTCGGTCGATTTGGACGGATCAGTATATCCGCTAATTCATAGAAGGAAATGTCTATTAAATGGAGCACAACTACTATGATTCGTGTAATAATACTTACCAATAGTGTGTGAAGTTTTCAATATTAAAATTTAGGCAAATTTAATTACCATAATTTAGTATATATCACCCAATATAGCATTCATGTGATATGTGAACCAAGTGAGAGAATGTAAGCCAAATCTCTTTTTGAGGAGACTTAATGTGGCCTGCATACACATTAATATTATAAATTATATATTATGTATTATTTGTATATTTATCATTTCCTTTATTATTTATATTAAGATATGGTTGATAATTATGAAGGTTGCCTAAATACTAAGAATTCTAATGGTAGTTTAGCTAAGGCCTATCAATTTTCACTAACCGATGCATTTCCTTGATAGAAGGAAACTGATATGGTTTATCTAAACAGGGTATCTATCTGTAAGGGTCGCTAACCTAGCAGTTACAAATAGGCCTATGGTTTTCTATCAATTATGAACTCAAGTTCTACATAGATTAGAAGACACTTATCTTAAAGTGTGAGTAAGCAATATAATATTGAGGTATTAAAGAAGGTATATACACAACACACCTGATCAACAATAGTTGGAGGTTAGTATAATATTTTCCACTGTATATCTATACATATATTTATAGTCATTATATTATATCTATGTGTATGATTTTCTTACATTATTCACAATACCCGGTTACAATAAATTCAAGTTGGACAATGACAAAGATATTCAAAACATGTTCTGCCTAGCCAAGTCGTTCGGGATTGAACATATTGATGTTATTGTTCAAGCACGAAGCACGGGTTCTTTTGCTAAAAGTGATGGTTACGAATGCGCGCAGTGTTGCGGTGCGGACTGGGAGGAATCTGCATACCGGTTCTGAGTTGGTGGCTAATGTTGTGGTGGACCATGTGCTTGATAAACCACTAACACGTCCATCCAACATTCTATACGACCTGAAAAAGATTACAGATTAAATATAAAATACTTCATTGTAAAAATAAATAAATCTATATATAAAAAATAAATAAAATAAAATTTATCTATGATGCAGGTGCAATTAGGATTTAATCTCCATCAAATTCATATATAAAATAAAGTAACTTTGTTTTCTCATTTTAATTTTTTTATATTGCTAGTACACAGGGATTACAAACAAAAAAATTAGATTTAAAAGAACTTAGAGGAAGTCAAAGAGGTCTGCAAGAATGGATAGAAGAAAGTGTGATTAAGGGTTGTTTTGGTAATTAATTTTTTTAGTATTTTTTATTTTTTACAAAAAATGGGAATTTTTTTTTTTTAATAATCATTTTTTGACTAAAATGTTGCCTTCTCAAAATAAAAATAAAAATAAAAACTTAAGAAAAAAAAAAGAGTAAATTAGGACTGATAGTCTTGAATAGAAAACAAAATAGAATTTTTTTTTTTTTTTTTTTTGGGGTATGGAAAAAAATTTAATGACTCAACAAACTTTTCCTATTGAGATAACTGTAGAAAAATCCAAACAAATGAGAGTGTAAAATATTAGATCCAGTAGATAATTTTTTGTCGGTGAGAGGTCCACCTTTTGTGAAATAGGGTGATAAGAAGTCATTTTGTTTGTTTTGAATGACATTTTATTTCAAATTTTACTCTTTAATTTATCTATTGACTTCTTTTTTATCTGTTGACTATCTGTTCAAAAAAATTTCCTATCTTTTCAAAAAATTACCCTATCTGTTCAATTTTTTACTATCTATTCAATTTTTTTTTACCTTATCTGTTTAATTTTTTAATTTTTTCAACTCAAATTTCCCTTATCTATTTAAATATTTTTCCAAATAAAATTCTATTTGTTCAAATTTATATCTATCTGTTCAAATTTTTTGATTATCTGTTCAAATTTTTTCTCCTTATCTATTCAAATATTTGTCCAAATTTTATTATCTGTTTAATTTTTTTCTATAGGTGAAAATACCCAACCAAACCAAATTATATTCTATCTGTTGAAGTACAGAGCCAAACTAAACCCTATGTGTTCAAATTCTTTTTATATTTCAAATGTCTTTTCTCTCTTTCATTCCTCATCTGTTCAACACAAGAACAAAAAAAAAAATTGTAATCTTGCACTCAGTTTCATCATCATCACCATCAACAAAACAAAAAAAAAATAAAAAAAAATAAAAAAAAGGATTTGCAAAAATATAATCCCAAAAAAAAAAAAAAAAACCAAAAAAAAAAAAAAAAAAAAAAAAAAAAAACTAGATCTAAGAAAAATACAATCTCATCGCCATCGATCTCGTTTTTCTCCAAGTAAGATCCAGACAATCAATTTGCCCAAGATTCTGAACCCTCCTTGCAAGCAGTTGATCGCTCAAGCACTCAATGGTTCTGGCAAGACTACTTGTTTTGTGCTCGGCATGTTGAGTCGCATCAATCCCAAACTCATTGCTCCCCAGGCTCTCTGTATCTGCCCAAAAATATATGTGAAATATTAGAGAGGCTCTCATTAATCATAACTTCTATTTTCTCTGCATTATATTATTCATATATCATAGAACAGACATTTTAACAAACACAAACATATATATTGGTTAGATCAGTGCGATCAATTGTGAATATAACCAAACAGATTGATCGCGCCAATCTAACCAACATGATGGAAACTATAATGTTTTAGATTTGAAAATGAACACAAAAAATTAAAAATTAATTGATCTGAATTGAAGAAGAAGCAACTTTTCTGGCAAGTGATCAATGAATTCAACCCCACCACCACCACCTTGTTTGGGCTTCGACTTCGGCCTCCAATTCCTTCTCATCCACTTCAACACAGCAAGGAAGAAACAGTCGGTTTCCTTGACACCTGCAGCGAAAGATAGACGATGTCGCCTCCTCCTCCTCCTCTTCCACACTGTCTCAGCCACCACCAGCATGTCCCTCGTACTATGTTCGTAGATTTGGCTTCTTTGTTCTTCAATCCGACCATCCATAGCGTCGCCAGCAGTCCAACATCGACTCCAATATCATGGCCGCCATCTCGTAGATCTGGAGCTTGAAGAAGACGGCGGTGGTCACTGTGGAGCTTGATGAAACTGAAGACGAGGGTGTTTAGAAAAGTGAGAGAGGCGGCAACAGAGGAAGGAGATCGCCGAAGGAGGAGAGATGAAGGTAGCGCCATGCAAAATACCGCTCTATCCGCTAACTGCAAATTGAATTTTAAAATTTATAATTTGCATTTCAAATCGCTCCGCTCCGTTATAATTAGTACATATATATTTTTAACTTCTAATGAAGTATTAAAGTAAAAATGAATATAAGAGAGATTTAAGATGTGAAATTTGTTACAAATTAGTAATTATATATATGAAACATATTATATAAAATTAATTTGTGTTATATATATAAAAAAAATTATGAAAATTAGTGTTATATATTAAGCAAATATTTAATAATTGGTTAGAATATTCTTCAATCTGTCCAAAACGCGATTTGCCAACCCATTCGTCAATCTGTCATTCAGTTTGTAATTTTACTCTTAACTGCTCAAACTGTACCGCGCACACCTCTAAAGAGAGAGAAGCAGTTTAGTTAGAAAAGGGTTTGGTTTGGGAAATGATATATATATATATATACACGTGGTAATTTGGTCATTTTGTAAAACTATGTTCTTATGGACAAAGTATCTTAAAGTATGGATATTTAGACAATGAAAATTCAAAATTAAATTTATGGATAGAGTGTCCTTTCCAATTTTAATTCCCACATTAAGATGCCTTGTTTAGTTTGAATTTCACAAATTATTTTTAAGTATTTGAAAAACAATAAATTGGTGTAATTAAAATAAATATTAAAAAGATATATTTTAAAATTTATTTCTATCTTTTAAAAAGATAAAAGAGACAATTACAAAAAAGAAGGAACAAAAAAAAAACTCAGGATTTGAGTCTTGTTAAAAAATAAACTCTAAATTTTTAATTTTGTCAATTTAAATCTTAATTTTTTGATTTGTTTTCAATCTAAACCATTTATCTATTTTTGTTAGATAAAACTGATAGAAAATGAGTGTTTTAGTCATTAAATTCAATGTAGATATTTATAAAATGCTTAAAATATTTTTTTTCATTGAGTTTAATAACTAAAATACTATTTTTCTTATCCATTTCTTAATGGAAATAGGCAAATAGTTTAAATTAGAAACAAATCAAAAGTTTAAAATTTCAAGTGCTAAAATTAAAAATTCAGAATTTAATTAGTTATAAGGGTCAAATTCTAAGATTTTTTTTTTTTTTTGTAATTTTTCCATGATAAAACAATATCAAAGTATAAATAATTTTTATTTTTTAACTTTTTTTACCAAGTTAATTTTTAATTTTTTTTTAAACAAATTCTTGAAAATAGAGGCATCTGCACCAATTACAAGAAGAAAAATTACATCCCAGATTAAAAAAATAAAAAAAATAAATAAAAATAAAATTACAAAAACATGAACTCTCAAAAATTTTCACTTATACCCTATCATATAATGACTTACACCCCATATATTTTTATAATTTTATTTTTTTATTTTTTTATATCTCACTACACTGTAATTTCTCCAAAACCAAATGGTGAATCAATCAAAACTTTTTTTCTGATTTTAAGCAATCAATGCTCAATACTGGTTGGGCCTTAAAACGGGTGCTCTGGTTCTAAGTGCTATGAGTCATGTTTAATATTTTTCGTGGGCCTTGTGTCAATGAAATGATATAAAAATAAGGCACTGACCCTTCCTTGTGAACAGTTCAAAATTTATTTAATTTCAAAACAAAATATTTGAATCAATTAATCTTATATATTTTTAATTATTATTAAAAAAATTATTTTCTATTTTTTTTAATTTAAGGACCTTTCACATCTCACTACCGTCGTCTGCTGAACTTCCGTTAAACAATCATTGGAAGCTCGCTAGAATGTTCAACATTGTTGGAAAGTCGCCGAGAATTTACTAGAAGCTCACCAGAGTGTTCTCAATTTCACCTGAAGTCATCGTAATGTCCAAAACGTTGCTGAACGTCAAGAATATCATTGGAGACTTACCGAAATTCCAGAACATTACCAAGAAAAATTTGGGAAATTAGAAGGGAAAAACACAACAAAATTTGTTAATATTGACAAACTAAAAAAAAAAAAGAGGAAAAAAAATTATCTTTTAATTTTTGTAAGATTTAAGCAAATAATCTCTTATGTTGATCAAATTGAAAAGCATGTTTTTTTATAGTTTCAAAATATGATTTTATTAAGCATATTTCCTTATTAATCAAACTGAAAAATATGTTATGAAATTGTAAATTTTTGCAGTAATTACATGTTATAAAACTGTAAAATTTTACAGTTTTAAAGCATGTTATGAAACTGCACAAATTTTGCATTTTTAAAGCATGATTCATTTTAGCACTTGAAAAAATTGAAATTGAAAAATTTTACAGTTTTCACCTCTCGTAACTAAAACTAAAAAAAAAAAATTGTGTAAAACTTGAAAAATTTTTCTATTAAACTAGGAAAAGAAAAGTGTGTAGCAGTGAAAAAAATGAAATATTAAGAGATCGAACAAGAGAGACAGACATAGAGAAAAGATCGTACTCCAGAAACCATTTTTTGTTTAGATCTACTCAGATCAACTATAAATTTGAACTTTCCGATGAGTCTTATCTTGTGATCTTGGTCAAATTTGAGTAAATCTATGTCAAGCACATTGCCAAAAACTTATCTCATTCGTCATCGATTAGGACAAAGTAAGGAATCGGTAGTTGTCGATAAACTTCAATCAATGATGATTGTCGGTCAGTGAGTATGTATCAAAAAGAGAAAGAGAAGAAGAAAAAAGTCTCAGAAGTTTTGGGTCTACACAAAAAATTGTGAGATTAAACGGAGTACACGTCCTTATATCAAGACTTATGGATAATTTGCGCTATAAGAATTCATCAGTAATAGTACGGTCTTAAAAATGTTACTTTGAATTTTATCTAAAAGCTTTAATCTATGATTTAGATATATTTTACACTTTGATATACACCATATCAATTCAATCTCTACTACATAAATATATCACCCAAAAAGAATTGAGTAGATTTTTCTGGTACCATAACATTCTTCATCAAAATTATAAGACAATTGATAGAAATATATATATATATATATATATGCATTTTAAAATTTAAAGGACTTTCCAAATTTAATGTTGTGTTTGGTTGAGGGATTTGAGGAGGGATTTGGAAAGGGAAATGGAAAAGGTAGGTGAAATATGAATAAAACATGCCTAAATTACACATAGTTTCACACACATTTTCCCTTTCTCTTTTCAAATCTCTTCCCAAATCCTCCAACCAAACACACCATAAAGGACTTCCCAAATGTACGGCCAAGGCAACAGCCTTAATTACATTGCAATTGAACTGGATCTGCAAAACCACTTAAGCTGATTCCCAAATCTACCATGTAGATGCATAACCCACACTACTTTGCCTTGTAATTTAACATTACTTACCCTCATCGGCAATATAGCCCCCACTTTACCCACACTACTTTGCCTTGTAATATATTACTTACCCTCATCACCAATATAGCCCCCACTTTATTTAGGAGGTTAATTCGGGCGGGATAAGTTGAAAAGTTGTTTAACTTCAGTTTAAATTGTGGTGGGAGTTGTTGAAATTTAATTGTAAATTGTGGTTGTCTACTGAAGTTTGACCCAAGTTAAATTTAAATTGTCTAAATTGTCCGAATTATTTGAATTGTACATAAATTTTATTATTTTCATTTTTTTGCAAAATTAATTAATTTGTTAAAATTATGCTCAATTTATATTTTTTTTTAATTTATAAAATCATTAATAATATTAAAACAAATAATTTAAAAGGGATATTGCTATGATGGTCTTCACAATTTATGAGTGAAAAAAAAATTAAAAGTTTATGTATTGTGTTGCTTGTACAGATATTATGGTGTTGTTTGGTAACACTTACGTTTTCAGTTTTCTGTTTATATTTACAAAAATTTTAAAAACTCAAATAAAAACTTTTTTGATAAAATTTTTGATTTATAAATCAGTGGTCTCAGTTTATAAATTTGGCCAAAAAATGAAAACAGAAAAAATGTGTTTCTATTTTGAGTTTTCAGTTTTATTTTTTTTACCACCCAACACTAGCCACTATTTTCCACCACCGTCTTCTGCCACCACCACCCACCACCCACCTGCTACCCACCACCCACCTCTCGCCACCACCTACCACCCACCACCCGCTACTACCATCCACCACCCGCTACCTACTTGCCATTACCACTCACCACCCACCTGCCACCACTATCCACCACCTGCCACCCACCACCACCAGCCATCTGCCACCCACTCGCCACCACCACCAACCCGCCACCCACCTGTCACCACCACTCACTACCCACTCGTTACCACCTACCACCCGCCACCCCCCTGTCACCACCACTCACTACCCACTCGTTACCACCTACCACCCGCCACCGTCACCCATCCACCCACCACTGCCACCACCCGCCACCACCCACCACAACCGGCCATTCGCCATCCACCTGCCACCACCACCCACCACTCGCCATTGCCACCTGCCACCGTCACCCACCTACCCACCACCACCACCCGCCATCACTAGCTACCCACCACCCACCGTCACCACTTTCCACCACCGTCTTCCACCGCCACTTGCCATCACTTGTCATTTTTCACTCTTTTTTATACTTTTAAAATTTTTTAAACATTTTGTCAATTACCAAGTGCATTTGTAGTTTATGTTTTTTTAAAAACAAACAAAAACCAGTTTATAAAATTTTTATAAATATAAACTGAAAACGAAATTGTTACTAAACAAGCTCGTTAAATTTTAACTTCTTAAATATTATTTATATCTTAATCAACTCTCATTGAGCCAATCGTTAGCAAGACTCTTATATGAGCACATACGCGTCTTTTGAGGTGGGGGGTGGGTTTAAAATTAAAACTTTTATTTTATTTTATAAATTTTCCGTCATCCCATCTAGGGATATACATAATACCGTCAAAATCGTCAAAATCACACCAAACCACACCATCAAGGTAAATTCGTTATTATTTGTCAATCGAACCGCCGATTTTTGGTAAGAAAAATGACAAATTCTGACACTTT